TGAGGTCTCCTCTCAAAATAGCAGAATAAGGTTTCTTCTCGTGGAGGTTTGGGAAAACAAGGCACAGCACCAGGTTTTCTATCAAGTCCAGCCATTAATCATCTGAGTAGCAGGAGGGAGATGTGATTATTATAAAGAGGCTCAGCAAAACAGTTGGAGTGAGCACTTCCCAAAATGGTGTTGGAATGCAAGCCTGATCCAGTGGACATGCCCTGGAGTCTGCCTGGAGCTGAGGATTCCCTGGCCAGCATGGCATGCACCGTGCCTCAGTGCTGCAGGAAGCAGCAGCAGAAGCAGGGGTGAGCTGTCCTCTGCTCCTTGCTCCTCCAGGCACCTGTGGCATCCTGGGCATGGAGACTCAATCTCTTCTGTCACTCACCTGCTAAAGCAGAGCTCCTGTCGTATCTGAAGACATTGTCTTTGCATGCTGAGTTCAATAAGAATGGGCAATTTGGGTGTCTTCTTAGTGCTTCTTGTGCATCTGGGGATGCAGAGTAGGGGGCTGACTCGTGCATTCATCAGACTTTCTGCAAACTCCCATGGTGTGATGGTCAGATCTTGGGGTGACTGCACAGACCTTTGGATAACTGCACAGTGATGAAGCTGCCACTGCTGTCTCCACCACAAGCAGACCAAGAAATACAGAAAGGCTTTTTTGTCTTTAATCAAAAGAAAAATTTCTTCTTATGCAAATGATGTCTGCAATAATATCAGTGTTGCCTCAGGTTTGCATAAGCTGAATGAAAGAGAAGCTGAGTTCATGGTTTTCAGCAGAATGATTTTAACTTTTATCAGTTCAGTATGTAAGGAGGAAAGGAAAACTCATTTCACTTGGAATAATGAAATCCTCTGGTTGCATTTAAGGACAGACCAAACAAATAATTTAACTGAAAGTTCATGTCAGTTGGAAGCTGACTGGATCCATGTGAACCATGGCTGTTGTAGTGGAGCCGTGGGACCTGTGCTGGGCTCTGAACAGCCTAAAGCAGCAGCAGGACACAAGAGCTTGTGTGAGAATGTGGTCAATCAGACTTGTTGGGGTTTTGGCTCTGAAACTGTCCTGGCCGCTGGGAATGGGTACAAGGGAAAATTTATGCAGATTAGCTCAGATATGGAGCTAATAGAACCACACAGATGAGGTCTAAACTATGAAACATTTCTCAAGTTGTAATGCAAATACAGTCCCAACATCTGTGGCCTTTCATTAAAAGTGAAGTTACAGGAATGAGATTTCACTCAGCAACACTAATTTGTGCCTGTGAAATTATTAACAATTTGATATTGTGGCTTTCTCATTATAAACTTCTGTGGGAAAGGGGAATTAATTTTTTTCTGTGCTGTTAGAAGTTGTCAGAGGAGATCCCTCTCTTCCTGCGTAACCAGATCAGAAATTCCTCACATACATGGGTTGACCCTTTCCCTTTGAGGAACACGTTAATTGAAGCTGCACTCCCATTAAACTGGTGCTGCAGGAGAGGAGTGTAAAAATAATGCAGAATAACAGTGGCAGGCCTGGAGGAATTTGTAGGAATGTTGAGCAAGGAAGAGGGTAATAATACATGAGGCACTTTTGGATGGGGACTGTGAAGAGGAGGCTGCTGGTGGCAAATCTTTTCCACTTTTATGTAGGATATTTTTCTGTAATCAGGACTATAAGGACAGTCATAGGATCTTCTTATTGCAGCAACATCTCAGCCAGCTCTAGGTATGCAAGCTCTTCATCATCCTGCTGGGAAGCAGAAGGTGCACCAGGATGAAGAGTGGCTGTCTCTCTCTGCGCCATACCTTCTGGTCCCTTTGGAGCCTATTACCATGGAGCACCTTCCCTGCTCCCCCTTCTCCCCCAGCAGTGCCAGCACACACCTGACAACACAGCAGGGATGAGTGGAATGTAGACCAGTTCTCCTTTTCCCATTGCATGGCAACCTGTTATCTCTGACTTAGATAAATGTCTGCTGAGAGAGAGGCGTGGGTTCAGCTCACCAGACCCATCTGACAAACCCACCATGTTTCTGGCTGTTTTGGGGTTTGCTGATGAATGCTTCTCCCCGCTTTCCTTACATCACACACAGAGCCAGCACCTCAAATGTTGTTTTCCTGGTGAAAACAACTGTCATGGCAAGGAGGAGAAGCAGGAGGTGCAGGAGGGATGGGCCTTTGGGCACTCATGGCCACCCCCTCTGGTGCACAGTTTATGTGTTGAAGCCAGCCTGTACGTCCTCTCCCCAAGCCATTTTCACTTAGTTTGGGATGCCATGCTGCCACTTCTGTAAAAAATAAAAGGTGCAACTCCATTGTGAAGAAAACATCTTAAATAAATCAGGAGATGAGAAAAGATGCAAGAAAGCTTCCCTGGTGCTGATGGCTCATATCACCATGGCTGATGGCAGACACCCATAGAGATGATGAGGGAGCTGGAGCATCTCTCTTATGACCTGAGACTTAGGAAGCTGGACCTGTTTAGAGAAAAGAAGACTGAGAGGGTATCACATTAATGAATATGAATGTCTCAAAGGTGGATGTCAAAGAATGGTGGCAGACTGTTTTCAGTGGTGCCCAGTGACTGGTCAAGGAGTAATAACCATAAACTAAACCACAACAAGTTCCACCTCAACATGAGGAAGGACTTCTTTCCATGGAGGGTGGCAGAGCACTGGAGCAGCCTCCCAGGGAGGGTGTGGAATCTCTCCCTGGAGACATTCCAAACCCACCTGGATGCTTTCCTCTGTCACCTTCTCCAAGTGAGCCTGCCTTGGCAGGGGGTTCGATGGGATGATCTCCAGATGGCACTTCCAACCCCAACTATTCTGTGATTGAGTCTGAGATTCACAAGTTGGACAAGACCCATGTTCTCAACAGTGCTCCATCCTGCCAGTCTGAAGCAGTAATGATGAATGGTTCTCTTTGGCAGTGCAATATTGACGGGGCAATTCACTCTGCCATGGTTGTGCTCTCAGAAAAGCTCAGGAGAGCTCCCAGTGTTCTCTCTTTAATATTGCACTGATGGCCTGATTGGTTCTTGCTGACAAAACTGCCACAGTTCTTAATATCAGCCTGTCTGCATTCATCAGATGTAAAGGTTTTCCATCCTGTTGGGCTCCAGAATAGCATTAGATGGCAAATGGAGAAAGCGTAGGAAGCCAGTATGATAATTTTTTAATCTAATCCCCCATACCAGGGAGCTGCTGGTGCTCTGATGACTGGGAGTTGTGATGCAAAGCAGAGAAATGCTGGATGTCATTTCAGCAATGCGTGTGGAAATGTATTTTTCAATATTCTGCTTGTGTCCAGCTGCAGTGCTAAAAAAGCCTCATGGACTACTGGCTGTGGCTTCCAGTAGCCACTGGTGGCTCTTGCCACCTCCTTGCTAATGGGAAGATTATCAGTTTGTCATGGCAGTTCTGGCAGCATCCCTTTGAGGTTGCTTTGGAGTAGTATTCAATATTTTATCAATCATCTGAAAGGAATTATAAAATCATTACCTGCAAGTTTCATCACCACTTTGATTTGTGAAGTTTGCAGGGTAATAAATATTGATGAACATTGGTCATAGAAATTAATGGGAACATGGTGATTAGAGATGGGTAGAGATGTCAGCACATGTTTGAGGTGAAAAGCAAGATTTTGCACAAAAAGAAGGTGAGAGAAGAAGGCTTGCAGGGCAGCGAATGTCCAAATCTGGGGACATGGGGACACTGTTCAGTTCTGTGATGAGCAGTGCTAACGTGCAGCCAGCTGTGGTCCTTTTGCTTTAAAGGTGGGAAATGACAGAGGTGTAGAGGAGAGGTTCTGGTGAGAGGATGAAACAGCTCAGAGGCACCCACACAGTGATTTGGTCACAGCCTGTTAACTGCACTTGTGTTGAGGCAGTTGAAGCAGATATAACCTCAACAAGAGACAGACCTCACAGGGCCCAAGTCAGCAAAATGAAAATTTGGACATGTGTTTGCTTTATGAATGGTGAATGTAGTTACCAACAGAGTGAGGGCTCTTCTGGGACTGTGCCTCTGGAATGTGCTGTGTCCTGCTCAGCCGTGGTCCCTGCTGAGGACTGGAATGCACCACCTGTGTCACTGTGCTGGGCAACAGGATTGGTGTGGGCACTGCTGTTCCCTGGCCTTCAAAGCTAAAAAAACAGGAAAAGAGAGGAGTTTGCAGGATGAGCTCTGCAGCTCTTGGAACCTGCAGGTCTGCAGGGCCTCTGCCCAAAGATCCTACATGGCTGGAAGGGCCTCTGTGAAAGAAGGAAAACTGCTGGAATTGCACATCTGGGATGCTGGTGGAGGTGGGGATGGGCTTGAGGCAGCCGTGCTGGTGACCCTGACAGTTGTGGCATCAGGGAGTCTAGGAGATGTACACATGCTGCCCACTTAAAAAAAAACCTTAAAAAAGTAAAAACCCATATCCCAGTCAAATGGAAACCTCTCTCTGGAGGATGCTGCCAGGACAGGGCTGCTGTGGTGGTTTGGGGCCAGACTGGGGAGGCAGTGAGACTTGGGACTGCCAGTCAGCAGGCAGGACACTGGCTCTGTCTTGAAGCAGGGCTGAGAGGATATTTATGTGTGAAAGGCTGTCAGGGCTGGAAAGATGAAAATCTGTTGTGCTCTCCCAGGGCTCCTAACTTTCTCCCCTCCAGGCAGCTGGCAGGATTTCTCTAAATATTTGAGATGGTAAAGGGCTTAAACTGGATTACTCCTGGACATGAGCAATTATAATTGTAAATGCACCATTATCGGAGCACTCTCCTGATGCTATTTTGGCACTGATGTGTGACACAGTGACAGGGAGGGTGCAATGGTCAAGTGCAAGGTAAGGAGAGCCCTTCCCTGGCACCTCACTGCTGGTTTGCAGCAGACCCGACCTCCCAGCAGACATCCCTTGCAAGGCCTCTCGTTCTCCTTGTCCCAGATTTGCAGGAAGAGCTCCCAGATGCCTCAGGCTTCAATAATTTCATTGAGTAGCAACTGTATTTATTAAATGGCTAAATACCCATTAGGAACAAGGATAAACCCAGTGCATTTTGCTGTGTATGAGTTTCAGCTGCAGCTTTCTGGACCTGAATATAGTTCTAAGAAGTCCTGGATGGCTTTTTGGGACGAAGCTCAGCCTTCTGGTTTTTTCTGATGGATCTCAGAAAACTCTGAGGGGGCTGGTCCAAGGGCTGTTCCAGGTGGAAGAACTACAGGGCAGAGGTGACTGCACAGACAGACACACGCAGACAGAGCTAATGGTTCTTTTAACCTGATGTTTTAAATAATGTTTGTATTTCCTTGTTGAATTTAACTGGTCTGAGTGATTGGCAGTGTATTGTTAATTGGGAAATCAGTCTCTTGGGGACAAAGAAAGATCCCTGATCACCCAGCAAAGGGTGTGCTGGAGGGAGGTATGCCACACATAACCATTCCCCCTCCTGGAGCCAAGAGGTCATGAATTTACCTCCTGCCTGGCTTCCAGAGAGATCCCCGAGTTCCTGTCATGCAGAGGAGAACAGATCAGAAGATGTTCAGCAGGAGCTTGGGAAACTGGTGATGTTTGAGCCTCTTAAATGAAGTGTTTGCATATTGTGGTGTGGGAAGCAGGTAGTCAGTAATCACCCCCCACGCACTCAGCATCCTCAGCATCTCTCCAGCCCTGGGAAAACAGCTGCCTTCCATTTCCAGCAGTACCAGCCATGCACCTTCCACGTTCCCTGCCTGAAAAGCCAGGAGAAAGATTACATGTGTGAGCATGCAGTGTGTCAGGAGAGACCATCTACTTGTCTGAAAAGCTGGGCAAAAGCATCTGGTACAATTTTTGCTATGACTTCTGTTGGGGAAATGAGGTCAGAGTTTAGCCCTGTGATGAAACAGCTTTCAGGACCATGTGAGGCTTAATTGCAGATCTTTAATTAGCTATCCAGCGTGGCTCATTCCTCAGCAAAGGGTGTCACTGTTGTGGATAGCACAGCAGGAGAGCAGCAACATGGGGCCACCAGTATTTAGGTTAAAGCTCAGCCCACGTGCAAGATAGAGTTCCCTTCACAGGAAGAGTTGATGGGAACAAAGACAAGACACCTTCAGCATGTCTCTTGAATATCTGCTGATCTCTGGTGCCTTGCTGGGTGTTTGAAAATGGTTTGAAGTTAAGGTGTCGATAAAATGAAAGCTTCATAAAACAATGCCAACAAAAATAAATGAAATCCTTTTATCTGATTCCTTGCTGGTCCCCTGAGGTTCATGAAACATGGGATGGGGGGACTGCAAGGTCATCTGCAGAGTAAGCTGGAAAGGCTTTTTTTCTCTCTGCATGAGCAGCTAACTGGAGCATGCCAGAGAGTGTTTACGGCAGGATTTTGGCTTCACAATGGATTAAAAGATTTTAAAATCCATCTGCAGAATATCTTGAACTTCAGGGTTGTTGTGTGCTGAAAATAACGTTAGTCCTTTAATGTTTGATGTGCTGGAAGCCTGGAGAGGAATCAAAGGGTTTGAAATGGTGGGAGAAGGGGAGGTAGAGGAAGGAAAGTTTGCTCTGTCTCTGGATAGAACTATTGCTCCATCATTCATTTGATTTGGGGACCCTCTTGTTAAATCCATACTTCAGCTGATTCTCATAATTACTAAGAAATATCACCAGAATTCATTCCAAAGTCCCAAATGTGTCGCTGCCTGGAAGAGTTAAATAGTGGGTAAAAGTGAGTCAGCATCTTCCAGAGGCTCAGGGTCCTGCTGCCATGGGTGCACCTGGCTGAGGTGACCCTGGGGTATGGAGGTTGTCCAGCACTGTCACCCAGACCCACTCCAGGACAAGCCAGCAGCTCCAGCAGGTGGGGAGCACAAAGCTGGGCATCTTGACCTAAGCCAAATCACTTTTTAATTGCCTCAAGGAAGAAATGGACTGGTCCTCCCTTTAGTGAGAATCACAATTCTGCTCAGCACATGTGGGTGATGGATTCCCACCAGCACAGGCTCTGCCACTGCTTTTGGTTTGTGCCTTTGTCCAGCTCAGAGAACTAATTTTCAATCCAACAAGACTGAACTGTCTGAGCCCCCTCCTGCCCCTCCAAGCAGGTACTGAAGAAAGCTCTGCTGACACAGGGAATGCCATCAGTGATGCACGAATTGTCAGAGAAATTTATCTTCTTAGTCCCCACTTCCTCTGTTTGTTTTCCTTAAAGCAAATGGCAGCTCTTGATTTATTTTGATGTGCAGCCAGTAAGGCCTGGAGGACTTTGACCCTTTTGGCAGAACATCCCTGAGCTATCCCATGTCTCAGTGAACAGGCAGAAACCTTTGAGCGTGTTGTTATGGCAGATTATTGCCCTGCCATCTTCATTTAAGTCTCTTTGCTACAAAAAAGCTTTCAGAAGCTCCTCAGAGCTGGTGACAGCTTTGGCAATGGCAGGCAGCTTCTGCCATGGGTGGTGGCCATTTCAGACAGGTTTGTCACTATTTTTAGGTAGTTTTTATAGGGAGTAATCCAGTTAATGGCAGAATCTGACTCTTACTAGTCCCTGATGTTTATTTCTCTCTGGGCTTTTTCCATTTTTGTGAGGGTTTGCTGCATCCTTGCACAAGTTTTCAGGAAGATGGCAAGAAGAAAATCCAGGATGGATTAGAGGGCCACCTGTAATCTCAGGTGGAACAGCAGCATTCAGTATTGCTTCATACTGTACAGCCAGGGCAGAAAATGCAGGGAGGAGATTTTTACTGACTAGGAATACCAAAGTTGGATGTGTCATTGTAAAAAGCGAGATCAGAAAAGGCAACTATAATGGAAACTTGCTGTGTAGAAAAATACTGGTACTCCAAGGAGGAATTGAGGGTCAACACAGGTGGTTTGCCAAGCCTCTGCAAATTGCACTCTATTGACTCTGTTGCTTAACTTTATTTCTAAGTTAATACTGTAGAAACAAATCTCTTAATGTTCACGTGTTTGCACCATTCTTATAAGGAATATGCGTCTTTAAAATTGCAGGCAATGTTATGGTAAAATTCATTATTACAATGTGCACAGGGAAATTACACTAATATAAACATTTGTGTTAGGGTGTAATTGTTGAAATTTCAGCAAGTCATTCCAGTTTAGTGCCCAACCTGTAACATGAAACAGTTCTCTGGTCACAGCTATTTCTTGCTTATGGGACCAATAAATGAATTCACATTTGCAAGTTAGATAAACCCTTTGAATGTATTATTGATGCAAACAAATGAGGATTGGGGCACTAGACAATACCTAATGAAGCTGACTCGACACAGGCTGTTCCTGCTGAAGGGTGCCAGGGCTCAGAGCAGGAACAGTGGTGCCTGTTTCATCCCATAATTATCCTGTGGCTGACACTCACTTTGTATGTTCCTTGGCTAGACACAAAGCTGGGGGCATCGTGATAAGGAATTAATTGCTGGGGATCCACTGGCAGCAATTAAAGAAAGTTCACAATCGACTGATGATTTGTGACTGTATCTGCACTTTGATCTCCTTGTAGACAGGGTGTTGACTCTCCCAATTATTTTCTCTGGTAAATATTGCTAATAAGAAGGTCTTTTAGAAAAAGTTTGCCCCTTTTCTGGAGTTGGTTGCTTTTTTCAGCTTCAGGCCCAAATTGGTGCTAAATAAGCTTAGTTAAGCCCTGCTCTGTAAAGCTGAATTGTAAATGAAGTGTGCAGCATTGAGTCAAACACCAGTGGAAAAGCTGCAGCAGGACATGATGGGAAGCACCTTTAACCTGCTGGGGAGCAGAACATTTCCCTTTTTGACAAGAGAAAACCTGGGAGCCAGAGGTTTCTCTCCTCTTAGGCTGAGGAGGAAGGCATTCCCAGTTTAGGACTCACTCCAGGAAAGGGATCAGATGCTTTGCCCTGCATTGTGGGGTGAAGCTGCTACAGGTGCTCCAGCCTTTCCTGGTACAGCTCAGCATCAGGTGCAGAATGGAGAGGATGCTTGGATTAGCATCTTAGAGTTGCTCATTACCAGTACTTGCCCTGTTACAATGAATTTCCATTTACATTTTTTACCAAAAGGCAACTGTGAAAAAGCCCTTGGACTAAACTCTCTCTGTGGGGGGTAAAGCAACCTCCAGTAGATTTTAATGGGTTCTTGTCAAATTAGTGAAGAAATAAATCCAAGTGCTCTTGGAGACTGAATGTTTCTTGTTAAACTCTCCAAAAAAGAATAGGATTGATTTGGAAATGTCACTTGTGATTTAAAAGCTTGAAGGTGAGAACGTCAAGATGTAATTAGCAGTAGCTGATTTTTCTTCTATTTACTCCTTGTGGTCTGTGTGAAAATGTGATGCCCCAAGGGACTACTCCCACATGCAGCGCTGCCCCTGTCCTTGCTGAGGGACTGAGACTGTGCAGCCTCAGAGAGGGGTCATGCTGTGCCAGTTTCCAATATTAGGAGTGTGAAATATCACTGTCATAGCCAGAGCCAAGGGGACAGCAGTCTGCAAAAGGAAGGAGCGAGGTGTCTTTGCTGAAGGAGAGGAATGCTCCTCTCTGGTGAGATGGGCAGATGTGTGACAGGCCCTTTGCCCAGAATCCCTGGGACAGGAGATTGGCTTTGCACACTGCTGTTTTTCTGGGTTTTCCCTCTCACTTTTGCCTTCTCAGCCATGCTTTGAGCATTGACCTTCTGCTTTCCTGGGTATTTCCTTCCTGGGGAGAATGCACATGCTATTCTTCCTTGATGTATTAGCATTTACCAGTGTAGTTGGTGCTTTCCAAAATTAGATGTGCTACAATAGAAAGTCCCGAGTCCCTGATTTGAAGAGACTTTTAAAAGAGGTCTTCTGCCATTGGAAGGCAATCTTGCAGCAATTAATTATAAAATTACATTTCAGGTGAACGGTGCTCATAGTTTTAGAGATTAATTCTTCTGGAAATACCATCTTTCATCACACCAGGTATTACTTTTGAAAGAAACTCCTCTTTTTCTCAAAAATAGAATGTGAGCCTATAAATAGAAATCATATTGTGAATTCAGATTTAAACTGAAATTTCTGATGTAAAGTACTCAAGATGCAGTCTTTGAAAAACATCTGATTGTGATAATCCCATGGTGTTATAATTATATTTTGCAGCCCAAGGTTTGAAAAGACCCAGGCTCTCCTTTTTTCAGCTGCAGTAAGTGCAGCCATTGATCAGGCTCACCGTGCCCTGGTGATGTGCATTTCTTCCGCTCCCATTATCTTTGTTGAATTGGAATAAGATTCAATTTCCTGGCGTGGAAAGCTCTTTGCACCTCACAAATTGTTACCTTACTGGTAAAAGAGGACACATTCACTCTGTCCTGGGTAACTGGACAAAGGGACAAGCCAAGGGTGCCAGGCTGTTGGCAGGAGGCAGATGAGGTGGGCTGGTTTCTGGCAGTCTCCTGCACGTGTCCAGCTGTAGCTGCTCCTGGGACTCCTCCAGTGCCGTGTCTGGAATGTGCTGGAATGTGCTGAGGTCACAGGGGACCCAAGGGGATGCCTGCATGTGGCGCTCAACACAGCTTGGATTCTTTGAGTGGGCTGAGGAACACCTCCACTGGGCATTCCTTATGTCTGGAGTAAGAGGTCCCAGGCTTCCTGTACTTCATCTTCATGATTTCACTTCAATTTCCATTTCTGTTGTGATACTGTGAATGTGTGTGAATCCCACTGTAAGTATTTATGGCAGCTGAGGTCAAGGAAGTGTTGCTTGCTGTGCCTGGAGCAGAAGGGAGAAACTTCTTGGGTTTGCTGCTGCTACCTGATCCCTGATCCCTGATCCCTGATCCCTGATCCCTGATCCCTACCTGTGGCTCCTTACCTGATGAGCTTGTGCTGGCAGACAGAGTCAGGTACAGCCAGGCCAAGGAAAAAGGGCAGTGCAGGAGGCAGCCGTGGGCTGACAGCTGCAGCACAGCAGCTGGGGCATCGCTGGATCTGGAACTGGGGTAGGCAGCATGATGCAGGATCCTGCATGCTGGAGCTGTGGGCCCTCAGTGCCAGCCCTTCAGTGCCAAACTGGAGAGATTCCTAGAAACCACTTCCCAGTTTGAATTCTTTTTTTTTTTTTTAAGGGAAAACCCCATCTTGAAACACGTGAGAGTGACTGTAAGCCACGGCAGGAGAATGCTGATGTTCCTCTGATGGGAGCAATGCAGCATATGGGCAGCACAAGGCTCAGTGCACCTGCAGGGAGCAGACAGCAATATTAATGCCTTCTACGTCTGCTGAGGCAATTGCTGGAAAAATCCTTCCAGGAGTCCTTGCTTATTGGCAGGGTGAGGAGGATTTTTGGAGCAGGGGGGTGCTGTGCTTGGCAGCGGGCCCCACCCATGGCCCGCAGGTGCTGCCTTCCCTGCAGAAGGGCTGGGTCTCACCTGTGCTTGGCCCTCACCTGTGCTGGCACTGCAGCACTGGGCACAGTGTCACCCCCACAAACAGCCAGGCTGTGCTGTGTCACACCAGCCCTGTGTGCCTTTTTCCCCCGCAGGAGTCAAGGGTGCATCTGTGTGCTGTGAGCAGCAGCTTTGTGCATGGCAGAGCCACAGACACATGGAAGAGTCTCTGGGCTGGGGCAGGAGGTGCTCAGCCCTGTGCTGCAGGTTCTTGCACCCCTTCATCCCGGTGGCACATCACCCTGCTGTCTCCTTCCCGGGCCTGGCAGCTTCCTGTGAATGCTCTGAGAGTGTCCTTGCAGAGTCCTTCATCCACCAGTGTTTTTCTGGTGCTGCTCTGGTGACATAATGAGCCTTTGTCAAGGAGTAAATCAGTTCAGAGGAGGAATGGCTTGACCCAGGGGATCAGCAGTGAGTGATGCTGCCTGGGGCAGAGCAGGGGGTGCCCACAGGTGCTAAACAGGGCTGGCATTTCCAGAATGCCAATGCCCTGGCCAGTCTGTCACTGCCACAGCTGGGAAGGAAGCAGTCAGTGCGGGAAGGGGATGGGAGTCAGGGAATTGCTGCAGCCTTTTCCTGCTAAATACGGGTTGAGTGATTAACAGGGAGAAGCATCTTCAGTTCCCCTGGATAAAGCTAGGCTTCTCTCTTTCCCAGCTGCTGACATCTGGTTTCCCTCTGGTGTCCTTGCAGCCACTGTGATCTCAGGAGAGGCTGCGGAGATGATGTTGCAAAGAGGGACCAGATCTGCCACAGCTACAGAGGACATAAACTCTTGGTGCTTGCCTTCTTAGCTTAGTTTCTGCTGCCTTAGCCATTTTTAAGAAAGAAATCTACATTAGGCGGCCATTGCTCAGTATGTTTTATGGCATTTTGCCCTGGTTTGAGGGTGTAAAGTTACTAAGCTGTTTAATTCAGCACTTTTCCTGTGTAGCTGTATGACATAACTCAATCTGAGTTCAGCTTCTGTAACAGCAGAGTGAAAAAGGGGACCCCAGGCTGGGGAAACTTGATCTTTGGTTGGTACCATGGAACTCCTGACAGGTTTCCTCAGCTGCTCTGGCATGTTGTGCTGTAGCAAACCTGAGACTTGGCCTTTTCCAGCTCCTTTCTGGTACCCAGCCTGTGCTCACCGGAAGAACAGCTTGGGATGTGCCAGGTGTTTGTTCCTATGGTCTGTTCTCAGCTTGTTAGTTGTCTCTAATGTCTTTATTTTTTACCTCCTCCTCATGACAAGCAATGAAGCCACCTTCAAGAGTGTGAGTCACTGAGTGTGTTGCATCCACTATGTTGTGCCAGTATGATATTTAGTGAAGAAAGGACTTTTTACTCACCCAACTTTGCATTCTCAGGTGTTTCCAGCCCTTGAGTTAAAGGCACAAATGTGTACAGATGAATGTATGCAGCTTCCCCATGAGTGAATCCCAGTGCCAATGGCTCCCAGTTGGGAAGACATTGGTGACAGTGCTGTTCCTGACTTGTAGAGAGGTGACCACATGTTGAGTGTTGACAAAATCTGACCCAGCTGCAGCTCAGAGCTCAAGTTTGAAGCCAGAGCCCTTTATGGTATTGCTCAAAGCAGAAATCCAATTCTGCTGTTTCCTGTAAGACCCTGTGGGACAGACCTGCCTGTTGTGTGGGTCCCTGAGAGGAGGGGCAGTGGTGTGGTGAAGCAGGAGGTCAGAGTGATGCCAGTGCCACATCTCACAGCAGCAGCCTGTCTCCTCCAGGTGTGGTGGGCAGAGTTGCAGTGATGGTGCTTTGCCAAGGCTCTTCCCAAGGTGTTCCCCTGCCCCACTGGAGGCTCCTCATCACATCCCCTCTCTTGCAGCACCTTGGTGTTTAGAGAGGGAGTGTGAGGCTGCCCTGATTAAAATTTAATGAGGCTTGGTATTATTGAGGGCCCTTAAGTGTCGTTTCTGCACTCACTGGCAAATAAATACATCAGCTGGCAGTAGAGGGGTGAGCCCTGTCCCTGCCAGCTGCCTGTGTGACTGCAGGGCTGCTTCTGCTGGAGATGATGGGCTGAGGACAGAGCAGCTCGGGGCAAGGTGGGCAGCTGGGCGCCTGTTCATTTTCTCTCCAGCAGCTGCTGGAGCAGTGGTTCCCTTTTATTTGTTATTTGCATACTTTAGCCATTGGAATTGAATTTGTGCCCATTAAAACTAAATTGGTGCTGCATGGAATTCTAAATAGACTCTGGCAGAGCAGCCCATTAACTCTATTGGAGCAGGTTCTGCAGATGCCTCCTCCACAGGCACATGATCTGACTGGGAACCACTGCAAAATGTGGATTTTTTTGCATGTTCCCAGGGATAATTGGAGTGCTGATATTAGAGTCAGTGTATTAAAATTTTGAAAGTCATCAGCATGGCTCAGAGCTGGGCTTAACTTGCTCTGCTTTGACAAAAGGTGTGGTGCAAACATCTCACCCAATAGTTTTGTATTTCCTTGGGTTTAATACTGTCTTGTTGCCATGACCTCAGGGTCCCTGTGCCCCTGGTTCCTTGTGTGAGCCTCTGGCTCTGCTCTGGCACTTTTCAAGGTTGCTCTGCTCCATCCCTGGTGGATCCAGTGGCACCTCTGAATCCAGCAATTTCTTCCTCATCCTCCTCACAGCCCTTCTGCTCTTTGGGGTTCCTGCTGGTGTGCCTAAGACTTTGTCTGCTTTGACTTTGGGTGGGGAGCCCTCTTGGCAAGGACCCCAGAGGCAGACCTGGACCCTTGCCTCCTCAAGGATTGCTTTGTGCTTTCTTCCCAGCCCTCATCCCCATCCCATGCACTGGGTCAGTCTCAGCCCTTTCCTGGAAGAAGTTCAGGGCCCAGGGAGCCCTGCCAGGGCTGGGAGTGTGGCTTGCCCAGCAGGTCTGGGAGTAAATGGACTTTGTGTTGGACTTGCTATTAAAATAATCTGTGTTGTTCGGTATTCTCTGATGAGAAAAGTGAAAATGCTCCTGAGCAAAATAGTGCATCTTGTTTACACATAGGGAATTCAATTTAAAGCTTATATATTGCAGGAAAAAAAAAAAAAAAAAAAAAAAGAAAACACAACAATGTGTTCAACCAGCCAGAGATTCTACAGCAGAGTTTATGATACCAGGCTTTGCTGCTTGGTCCTGGTTCCAGGATCCTCAAATTCTGTTGAATTATGTATTGGATATCTTAAATGATTATGAAATAAGTGAATCACACTGGTGTTTTTCCAGTGTTAGGCCCTTCTCAGCAGTTTTTGCTCGAGATGCTTCCTTGGCATGCCTCCATCAGGCCCTTGGGTTCAGTTTATTTTGCTTGTCTGCATGCGTGGGTCTGTGCAGGATGAAACAGCCAAGAAACTTCCTCTTTTGAGCCCAGGAAGATGGGTCAGCACTACACAGACACAGACATCCCCTTGTGGTTTTTGCCCTTCTGGAGCCACATTTGTTCCTGGGGTGTCCACAGAGGTTTTGGTGCCTTCCAGGCCGAGGGATTTCTCTCAAATGTGGCACAGTGCCCCAGCAAGGTGGGATCTCACGTGGCCAATCTCCATCTCATGGTCCTTCCTTATCTAATAATAAACCCAACACCACAGGCGCTGCTCTGCAGGGAATAAATTCAGCTGCCCTGCTCTGCTGAGCCCAAGCACGACCTGCCCAGTGCCCTGTGCTGCTGCTGGGCACTGGAGGGGGAGAACACAGCAGCTCAGAGCAGCCCAAAGCAAAATTTCTTCAAGAATTTGATATAAACTGGCCAACCCGACTCCTTTGTAATTGCTTTGAATCCAATTAATGCAGCCTGAGTAGATGTTAGGAATTATAAAGAGGAATCCAAGTCTGAGCTTGTCACCTAAACTACGATAATATTCCTTCAAAGGAGGCACATTTGCAAACATTATTAATTACCTGGGGAAGTGCTCAGGATTTCAACTGAATTAAGGGGGGAATGTATTTTTGTGATTTTGTGTTTGATTGAGAGCAAGAGATTACCTTACTCTGGAACAATGGAGCAGTTCTTTGTCACAGACCTGGCAGCAAAACACAGGGAATTAGTCTGTGCCAAGTCCCCCGCCCCCAAAACCAATTTACTGGGAAGGACATTATGCCAGGAATTACCTGGGGCCAGAAGAGCTTTTAAAAGTGTTTAGCACGGGCTTCTCTAATCAGAAAAATCCAGGAGCACAGAGCTAAAATTTGACTCTTTTTGTTTTCCGTGAAGTGCTGCTTGGCTTTGAGGTGTGCTGGATTTGTTTGGTTGTGTTGTTCTTGGGGTGGGCTATGGGTGCTATACTGGAGTCCTCCAAAAAAACCCTAAAAAACTAAGAAACAAAAAAAAATTCAGGTGCTGACACAGGGCAGGAACCTGCTCTGAAGTGCCAGACTTTGTGCATGATCACTGGAAATCTTTTATGGAAATTATCTACCCACACAAACGTGTGAATTTGCATGTCTTGTAGGCAAAACACAGCAGGCTGACTTGTGCAGAAGTGCAGGAGAGCTCGGTGGCAGCAGCGTGTGACTTCCCAAGGCACTGCTTGGCAGAGCAGGTTTGGGATTTAGGGACAGCAGGGGTGGTTTGTGACAGAGCTGGGCTTTGCCTGCTGGCTGTCCCTTGACTGCTTGGAGCAGGGAGTGTCTCAGAGCTGGATTGCTGCAGGTGGGAACCCCCAAAGGTTCTGAGAGCAGCTTGGTGGTACCCCTCACGAACCAACAAGCACTGGCACCGTGAGAGCTGCTCTGGTGGCACTGACAAGCACCCCCACCCAAAAAGTGTCTGCTTCCACTCTGTGTCAGGAATAATGGGGCCAGCAGGAGCAGGGAGGTCATTCTTCCCCTGTACTCAGCACTGGTGAGGGCACACCTCGAGTGCTGTGTCCAGTTCTGGCCCCTCAGCTTGGGAAGGACACTGAGATGTTTGAGCATGTCCAGAGGAGGCTGGAGAGGGGCTGGGAACACAAACCCTGTGAGGAACCACTGAGGGAGCTGGGGGTGCTCAGCCTGGAGAAAAGGAGACTCAGGGTGACCCCATCACTCTGTACAGCTCCTGAAAGGTGCCTGTGGCCAGGTGGGGTTGGGCTCTTTCTCCAGGAACTGACAGAACCAGAGCACACAGCCTCCAGCTGCATCAAGGGGAACATAGATTGGATATTAGGAAAAAGTTTTTTACAGAAAGGGTGATAAAGCTGGAATGGCTGCCCAGGGAGGTGGTGGAGTCACCATCCCTGGGTGTGTTTAACAAAGCCTGGATGTGGCACTGGGTGCCAGGGTTGAGTTGAGGTGTTGGGGCTGGGTTGGACTCAATGATCTTTCAGGTCTCTTCCAACCTGGGGATTCTGTGAATTCTGTAAACGACTGGCAAAATGGCACATACACCTGCAAAATTGGATGATCTCCTTTGGGTCAAAAGGAAATGGAAATAGATGGGAAACAGGAAGAGTCAGACACTAAGAACATCAGTAGAGTCTGGAATAATAAATTAGCAGATTACAGGCTATCAATCCACATGTCTAGGCTGTGCCTGTGTCAAAAGCACAAACACATTTGCTCATTAAGCCCAAATCATGTTCACAATTATTTTTCAAAGCATTTTCAAGAAAGTAACAGTAATTAATAATCTTTAGTGTTTGTTCAAGTGCCTGTCATGCTGAGGTTTCCTGGCCCAACCCTGCTCTGGGTGGATGCTCCTGACGTGTGGAATGCATTGCTGGAACCCTCTTGGGCAAAGCACAGCACACACACCCGTCAGAGGGGCAGAGCTGGCCCTGCCTGTGCCTGTGCCAGTGCCAGTGCCAGTGCCAGTGCCAGTGCCAGTGTGCTCCCAGAGAGCTGACACCATGAGGTAGGAGGCTATTTATGGCTCTGTCTGCCTCGGGGAGTGTGCTTGAAATTAAGATGGTGCTGATGAATGGAAAAAGGAGAGAGAAAGGCTCAGAAGGTCCTGGACCAGGGTGCTGTCGACGTGGAGATGTTCTTTGAAGAACTCTTTAGCCAGTGATGAAATGGCATGCAGCACCTCATTCAGGTGTCTCAGGGCAGGGGAGGGCAGGAGGTTGTAACTGAGGGGTCCCATGCCATTAATTTCTTGCCTGAGGCATCCAACAATACCTGTAAAGTTACATGTCACCATTTTGCTGTATTCTGTCTAGACATAAAGGACATTACTACTTACCATTATTTAAGTAAAGTTAAGACTGTTCCCTGGGTTTGCTGACAGTCTTTCCATGCACCCTGTAGGAAAGCTGGGCTCACTTTTACTGCCTCATTTCTCCCACCATCAAGTAACTGTAAACATTCCATAGTGGCAATTAACCACCCGTGTTCTGTGATGTTGTGTCCTGTCAGCACACAAGTATTACACATGCTGCATGTCCCAGGACAGCTCTGGGAAACTGATAAATGGTGACATCCATGTGTTTGCTTTCCTTTCCCATGAGGGTGCTCTAATCCTGCTGTGTTTTTGTCACAGCATCTGGGATCTTGCCTGCCCCAAGGGCACGGCTCCAGGCCAGCAGCAGAGCACAGCAGCACACTGAGCTGGCAGTGCAAGGCACTCCAAAACCAGAACCAGAGAACATAGACTGCTTTCCCTGTGCATGGACTTAGTGATCTGGTTTAATTCCAGCTGAGAAACCAGGGCAAGGAATATACATCAACGCTGTACATGTTCTAAATCGCCACAATCAAGCTTAAATTCGTTTTATTCTTCACTGTAAACTTGTCCTGAAGTAGGTTAGTGGATCAGAGCAGATCTGCTCTATATTATTTATAGGTTTCCTTTTGGTTCTTGCTGCTTGGCTGGATGCTGCTAGAGGACTCCATGTTCCAGCAGTCTTTCTCTTTACTGCAGCTTTAAAACTTTCTATTTTTATCTGTAGGAATCCCATCTCCCCAGCTCCCTTCTCTGCTAAATTCAGCACACTGGCAATGCTGAAAGTCTTTCATGGCATGCTGTGCCAAGATCTGACTCTGGTGAAAAGTGCTGCACTGTTCTGCTTGTGTGTGAGCACAGGTAGCACAGGCAGTGCCCAGCACTGGCACAGGTGTTTCCTGCTGTGCTTCTGGGGCCAGTGTCCTTCAGGGAGAGCTGCTGTCCAGTGGGAGGAGAATGCTTTGGCTGGGATATTCCTGCCCAAGTGTGGTTGCCTCTCTGAGCCAGATAACCTTATGTTCAGGAGCATTTGCAGCAAAAGCAATCGTTGTCTTTGGCTATGAGATTATTCATCAGCCCAGCACAGTGCTGCCCTCCCACAGCCTGAGGCAGGAGCCCTCAGCATTTTTATCAACTCTTGTAATTCAAACCACTGAGAAAGTGAAGAGACTCTACGCATCAGCTGAATGTGATAGGCAGGGTAGGGCTGCATAATTTATAGACCTGCATTTCTTTTTGATGAGATTTTTGAGTCTAAAAGCTCTGGGAAGGGAGTGCTATTTTTTATTGCATCTCTGAACTCAAATTATGTCAGATTTTGTGGGCACAGTCTGTGCTTGTTAAAAAAAAACCCCACCAAAGTGCAGCCTCAGATTGCTCTGGCTCATGAGCACTGCTGGTCCTGCTCCATGCAGAGTAAACTAGCTCCTTGCACTCCCAAGGATTAGTTCCTCCATATCCAGAGGGAGCACTGGATTCTCAGCGTGCCAGGGATTATACCACATCACCAGGTGCTGGTCCTGCTTGGCCACAGGGTGTCTGGGTGGCCAGGGGCCAGCTGCTCCCTGCTGTGTGCAGAATCACAGGCTCCAACTGTGTGCTTTTCAATGATTTGGCTGGGATTGCCCATGTGTTTGGTATCTCTCTGTCCCAGGCCCCTTTTCCTTTATTGCATGACCTGCTTTGACTTTGGTCTGTGACAGCTTTTTGGAGCAGCCACCTGCACCTTCCTTCCAGGTGCTTGGTGGCCCGTGGCTGGTGCAGTGGTGTGACACTGGTCACACCTTCATTCCCCCCACGCTGTAACCTCTGAAAGGAAGGAAATTTGGGATCACCCTCCACTGTTCTGCACATCAAAGGTCGCTGTGTGGCAGGTGCAGGTACACTTGTTGCTTTGAGTAAAAGCAGCTCATCATCCCAGGAAATTCTGGTCCCACTGCAGAGGTGGGTGCCTGGTGGTTGGAGTGCTGGAGGCTTTTGGAACAAGGGCTCCCTTTTTGAGCTGATTATTCTGAGTGAATCATTGCAGGCAGTACTGGCTGAGGTCAGAGAGGCTGATATTGCCAGCTGCACTGATTTGTAAGGATTTGGGAGACATACTGATATTTTCTGGAGATAAACCACTAGAAATAGGGAAAATGTTATAAAACTGTGGCCCAAGTTCCTGTTCCCTTATCTCTGTGTGAGTGTTGTCAAGAGTTTAAAATATACGTGTGATAAAGCAATTCCTGGAGCAGTTGCAGTGACAATGTATCCTGAAAAGCATCTCCCCCTTTGTTGGGAGTGGGAAGCCAGAAAAGCCATGCCACTGGGATGGGAATGTCACTGGAATTGGTCAGACTGCTGCTGGAGCACAGGGTACTCTGGATAATGAGCCAGCAAGAATCAAAACCTTTTATAATGTATATTTTTAATGGAGCTGGAAAACAAGGACAAAATAGGAAAGCTGTTTCTGAGTCCTGCAGGCACCTGGGGGGTGGTTAGGATGTCATTAGAGGGAGTCATGGGTTGTCAGTGTTTCTCCTAATCTGGAATTGAAGTCAGGAGCAAAAACTTGATGTAAAAATAAAGAACAGAGGAATTGGATAAAACCAAGTGCATCCTAATCCTGTGTCACAGCCCCATCTGAGATGCTGCGGGTGGTGCTGGATGGTCCTGTTCAACATCTCCCTGCATGGGGAGAGATCACTTCTGGAAAGGTCCTGTGTAAAGGAAATAGAAAAGGTCAATATTAACAGATTAGGAAAAGACAAATGGCAGTGCTGTACAAATACTGTGTCAGATGAGGAATTGTTCCCAAAATTGTAGATAAGACAGTTCTGTCCTTTTTATCTGGTAGTACTGAATAAGAGGACAATGAATTTTGCTAAAGAGCAACACAAGTTAAATCTGATTTAAGGAAAGGAAATACAGTGACACTACTGCAAGATTCATTCTATTCTCAAGTGTGGTAAACTCAAAAGTGGGATGAATATGTGTGGATGGCAAGAGAATCCAGGGAAATAACAAGCAATGTTGTTAGGGGGACTGCCAGAAGGGACATCAAAACCTGGACCTTTCTGGGACTATCTGCAATTCTGTGGCCCTCCATGGCTTTTTGTCTGTGTCCTGCTGTGTGACCTTCTTCCCTCCCATGCCAAAATGCAGTTTTGGCTCTGTAGATGAATTTCCTTCCTGTCTCAGGTCTAACCTGCTGCCACCCATCACTTCTACTTTGCTTGGAATTCACCTGTCAGGGCCATGGCAGCCGTGAGGTGGATGTGTGGAGCAGCATCCCTGCTGGGGCAGGGTGGATTTGCACTGAAGGGCAGGCACTGTGCTCCCAACACTGCCTGCCAGTCCTCCCCAGTTGGGGTGATGGTTTTCCTTGTGAGGCTGGGGCATCCACAGGGACCTGACTGAGCTCCCTGCAGCAAAGATAATTCAAGTCAGCAGCTGAAGATTCATCAGCACTGCTGGAATCCTTCCAGTGGTGCTGAGCTGACAGAGGTGCTGTCCTGGAGCAGGAGCTGCTGTGGGTCTGTGGGGTGGGACCCCTGCACTGTCCCATCCTCAGTGTCACAGTGGCAGGGGTCTGCTCTGTGCTGGGGGTGTCCTGGGGTGTCCTCCCCTCTGCTCTTCATATTCATCCTGTTAACAAATGGCATCCCTCATCATCAAAATATTTTCCATAGGCCCTCTGGTGATCGCATGAGCTGTATCAGAAGTCATTAATTCTGAAATGTGGGCTCCAGGAGACACTTAGGGCAAATAAATCCTTAAACCTTTCCTTGTCAATGCCTCCCCTGTCAGGCAGGTGCTGAGCTGTCATTCACAGCCTACAGCCCTCCTCAACAAGCAGCTGCAGCATTCCTCCTCTGCGTGTCCTGGTGAAGCCAAAAGGACAGAAGAGTCCCTAAGGCCCCCAACAAAGCTCCTTTTCCCCCCAAGATAAGTATTTCTTCAAAGGACTGTGGCAAATAAGCTGGCATTCATACTCTTTTAAACAAAAATCATAACTGATGTGTTATGTGACCAGTGGAGGTTTTTATTTAAAATTTATTTCTGCTGATGGATTCTCTAAGGTATTTTTAATGTAATTTGAGATTATTAGTGACTTTCAAGGTGTCAAAGGGTTCAAACTGCCTGGTTGAGCCTATTACTCTGAGCAGCAGTTGGAGAAGGGCTTTCCCATCTGATGACTTTTGCTTATCAAGCAGGGAAGCAATACAAAAACACAGGGAAAAGCCTAAATCTGGCTATGGAAAGGAATGAGTTCTTTCTGAAGTGCTTCAGCGCTGAGACACATCTAAATCAAGTTATTGGGCAGGGGTTGTTCTGTGCCATGGGGCAAGCAGCTTCCTGTGAACACTAACTGTGTGTGATGCCTGAGCCGAGTACCCTTCAGAGCTGCTTAACAGCTTCTCTTTTCCATTTTGGTGATATCTTTCTAAATTATACATTAAACTTATCAGGCTGAGTAATGCATCACAGCTTCCCCGTGTCAGACTTAATGTTCCTTACTCAGCTGCAGCTTTGTGTTTGCCTTTCCCTTCCGTTTATCATCAGGCAGACCCCGGGTGCTCCTCTCCAGGAGCTGCCTGCAGCAGTGATGCTCTGCAGGAGCCAGGTGCTGGGGGCTGCCCCATCCATCCCAGGGCAAGGCCAGCTCAGGAGAGCTTTGCTGTGCTGCAAAAGGGTCCTGGCAAATGCTGAGTCCATGGAACTCATGCTGCTGTCCTGGGGGATGTGGGTGCTTTGCTGTAGGTGGGGGTTTGTGTTGGTGA